AGATCTTTACTTGACTAGTCTTTGACCACACTCACCCAAGACAATTTTTCAGAAAGCATTAAGCTTGGCAAACATATATAGCTTATTTGTCCACTGGAGGAGATGGAGAGCAGGAAAAGCCAATGTATGTAATCACTACTCTGGTGTCTACAGCAGAATTACATTCATGGAGCCAAAAAGGAATTGAATATATTAGACCTCTTCTGATGTTTCCCCTACCTTGAACTGTTACTATAAGCAAGGTCAAGATAGAATCTCACTGAAATGATGCCTCTTCATAGAGAGCTTTGCGGATTCTGTGAATTTCTTTTTTTAATTGTACTTTGTAATTATTTTTAAGGACCAGTTTTAAAGATCATCCATTCCACAAACATTTCTATGCTCAGAACTTCAGCGTCTGAGGTGGTTTCAACCAATTTGGTCTTTAATAAATACTTCTTTTTTTTTTTCTTCATTTATTTAAGGTATAATAGAGTGATCCAATTCTTTTGTCTACTGCCCTCATTTGCCATCAGCTAGGTCTCGTATCTTCTTTCATCTGCAGTGTGCTCATTTGCCTTTGAGGGGCAAAGATAGTTTTCCATTCACTTGCCCATTTCCTTGAGATGCTCCTGTGACCTAAAGTTTAGTGATACAGGAAATGTGCCACACAAGGGAAACTTCAACGCGTGAGAGTGTGACTCATATGAAAGGAGAAAATGAAATAACCAGGTTGCATTGTGAACAGAATGTCCTTAAAATGCAGATGTACTGCACACATACTGTACTCAAAGTTTATCTGGGTTTGACTGGATTCTTTTTATGCTTAATAGCTATTTTTCATAGCTTTTTGACTACTATTTGCCTTAAAGGGATGTGTAATGTATTCAAAAACTGCTTTAATAAATGGGTTTATCTTCGTTAGCTGGATTATTAAGTTGAAAAAATGTAATAAACTTGATTAGTTTGGGAAGTCTGTGGAAGCTTGGCCATTTGAATCTCTAATCCTATTAATTAGATTGTGATTGGATTAATATTTGCAGTGCAGTACTGTTTAAAAAAAAGTGCTGGCCTCTTCAGAGAACTGCGTAAGTAGTTAACTCCCAAGTGCTTTTGGCAGTTTATCAGCTTTTTTCTAGAAATACGTGTCAGATCCAAGACTATAAGAACAATACTTACCTTCCAAAAAATACAGGGTTCTTTCTGTTGTTGTGTTTTTTCTTTCTTTTCACTTAGAATTCCTAATAAAATCTCTTTCTGTCTGTGGAATTTTTTGGTTATAGAAAGCCGCATGTTGCAGTTGATTTTTGTTGTTGTTAGTTGGGCTACGGTTTTAGAATAGAAAATTGATGCTGCTGCAAATAAGTGCAAGTATCAGCTTGTTTGGAGTATTTCTGCATGTAGGTATAAGATTAATGATCAGAATTAAAACAGAAAATAAAACTGAACAGATTTAGGCAGTCCATACTAAACACAGTATGTTTTACATAAAAACATAAACAGTTTTTATGTAAACACAGTCCATAGTTTAGAAATGAAATTAAATACACTTTTCTGCAGCTGAGATCATTTGCTGTTTCTTAAAAAACACAGACAGATTGAAATGACTGCAAAACACCTCTTAGAAAAGAAGTGTAGAAAAATACAACAAAGGTTATTTCTGTACAGATACATGCAGGTAAATGAAGTGTTATCATATTATTGCTATAGTTTGTGTGTGCAGGAAAGAAAATATCAGAATGATAGGAAAAATAAGGACAGCTAGGAGGATGGGGTTACACCTCTGGTGATGATAGTTGGGAAATACAGCTGCTATCCTGTTTCATTGTCTTGCTGAAGAGGATGTAGCTCTGTGAATAGATTGTGGGTGGCTACTCTTAATAGCCTGAGCCCTGTGAAACCCTGCAGGAAGCTTGACATTGAGTAAGACTGTATTATTGTCATTCCCTGATTGCCTCTCTGTGCAGTTAGAGCATTCAGTAAATAACAGTAAGTCCTGTTGCTAGCTTTAGTGGCCCATAAGCATGGTACTTGAAGAATGTGCTGTTGTGAGTGGTAGAAGTGATCTTGGAAAATACAGAAACCATATAAAATAGTCTGGGGTTTCTGTGACTAAGGCAGAGCCTAAATTTCTTCGGTCTTGTAAGCTTTACAAATAAATATTGTGCCATCAAAGTTAGGTTCTAAGTCTTTGGTGCAAGTGCTGGGTTGCAGCTTTGTGTTAGGCTTAGGACCCATTTTAAATTTAAAGCAGGAATTCAGCTTTTATGAAAAAAAGTCCTCTTTACAGTTTTTGCTCTTTGAATATGTCATACATTTTTTTCAGAATTTTCAAGTTAATTGCTAAATTTATGCATTTAAATAAATTTGAAACTGAATTATCTTTCCAAATGCTTGATCTCTTTTTTTTTTTTGGTCCTATATGAACTTTACCATATGATAAGAGACATACTTCACATTTTCCCGATAGTTAAAATGAATTGAAAAACTATCCTCAGGCTTCCTTTGAAAAAAATAGATCATAATTTAGACGATTTTTTTTGCTGTTGATACCAAAGGTAACATACATCACAGATGAACATGACTGCTTCAGAATTACTTTCTCTGAGAGGATGAGAGGAGAAGCACTGCTTTGTTAAAAGACATAGTAGTTTAAGGGTTTAAAATGAATCAAAGCCCTTCTGATGGAGGGTCCTGGCAACAGCAGTCTGTGCTGCTCTGTTCTGTGCACTCACTGCTGTAGTCCCTCTTTAGCACAAAGAGCCAAGTGCCACAAAGAAAAAAAAATTCCTTTCCCGTCTTGGCTTGGTATGCCTGAGTTTTAATAGACTTCAGTTTTGAATAATATCCTTCAATTTTTATTAACTTGATTTTAATAATTTGACTAATCTCATTTGCTTTTTAGAATGCATATGTAGCTTCATTTTTTCTATTTTACATTTTTATTCATAGGTTTACTTTTAGCTCTTCCATATTTCCTATTTCTGTGTAGGCTTATTTTTTTGGTTGTTGCCATTGTCCTTAAATTCCCAAATTTTAAGTTGTGGGTGACAAAGTGCAAGGAAAGAGGAACAAATGCATCAGCTATACAAATGGGGGAATAGTCACAAAGGCTTACAGAAAGCTAATGATAAGCTTGTTTCCTTGTGCTCTGCCTGTGTTCAATGGAGAGAGGGATGGAATTCTCTAATGGTCAATCCTGAACAGCTAAATAAGGCTTCATCTTTGAAACTTCCTTTAAGCTCATCTGTTTCATTGTCTGTGGGGAAAGACCAGCATTTCTAAGGTTAACCCAACTTTGATGTTCGCAGGGAATTCTTCACTTTTGAATAAGAATCTCTCAGATACTTGTACATCATGCAATAGTAATGCCTCTAAATGCTGTAAATTTGTGAACACTAAATGTAGCCCTCTGAAGACACTAGAGGTATCCCTCTGAAAGTAAAAGTACATTTTGTACTGAAGTACAAATCTGCGTGTTTCCAAAAATATTGTAGATGGGTGCTTCTGATGACTGAGCTTTGATAATGGAGTATATGTCTGGGGTTTGTTATTATGTTGCTTATGTAACTGTGGCTATCTTTTCGAATTTCCTTTAGCAGACAGCTCATACACTAGTTTAAACATTTCTTTATCTTGGACTGGCTCCATGTGAGAGTTTTGTTTATCCTTGTGCTTTGTTATAACCAAATGGGATTAAAAACCAAACTTCTTACATAATAGCGTATGATGATTTTTTTTGTAAGTAATTTCAAATTCACATTGTGGACCACAATTTCCTATGAGGACACTACTCCACAGATAATCTATTCAGGAGTAGAGAACACTCAGCTATTAACTTGAAGCTTTCCTGGCAATAAGGAAATGTTTTCTACCTAAACCTCTAAACTCTAACCTGTTAGAATAGTTTGGGGCCCCTTAGCACAGAATATCAGAAATGTAGATGACTTGTAAAAAGCAAAGAGGCAGATAAATGTAAAAGAAGTAGATAATTGTAGATAAACTGTAAATATAGCAATAGAAAGTACATTTTACACGTTCTAACTATGGTAGAAGGATATATGGAATGCTGTCTTGAATGGTAATTCAGACTTACATAGCAGCCAAAACCAGGACACAGTGAAAAAGCAAAGGCAGTGATTGGAAAATATGAAACAAAGGAAGCTTGAAAATAAAACGAATTACCCAAATTTGGGATTGAACAGTTTTTGAACTGCATTCTTAAAAAGTCTGGGTGAATGAGAAGGGTCTTCATGTATGATTATGTAAGAGATCAGAAAGAAGTTACAGGAAGAGGTCTGTAAAGACCTCTCAGTATTTTTCTTAACTTGGTTCTGGTGCAGTTACTGCTATGGAACCACAGCTGTGTTCTTGTTGTTGGATATATAGCTCTCTTCTTGCTGTCCAGACCACACACAGTTTCATGTAATTCACTTTGCTTTTTTCTTTTTTTCTCTGCATCTTACAAGAAGAAAGTGTGGATTTTCCATCAAAATTCTGTGCAAAATGGTTTTCTGTTTTAATTGAGATTTTTACAAGCAACTTTAGTTAACATAGATACTGATAACAGAGGGATTTATAACCTCTCAGAAGCAGGATGTATATGGTTTTGTTTTTCCCTTGGCTAGATGCCTTGCAGGCTATATTTTGTGGTTCTCATCTTGGAGAGGGACTAAAATTTAGCCCCTTCTTGTCCCATCAAAGCAGACTGCTTTGCACAGCTGTTTGGACATTATACAAAAATGTTCAATTATCCCGTAATGTGCATACACTTTTCTACCTTACTGATTTGTGACTGCAGCAGTCTTGACAACCCAGCCTTGCTTCTGAGCGCATGCTGGAAATCCTGCTCTGTTCTGTATTTTCACAGGAGATGGTAAGCTCTATACGTTTGGAGAACCTGAGAATGGGAAACTGGGATTACTACCTGAACAGCTGAAGAACAATAGAGTCCCACAGCCTGTACTGGGAATTATGGAAAAGGTTAATAAGGTTGCTTGTGGTGGAGAACACACAGTGGTGCTGACAGGTATGCAATTTACTTTAAA